TTAGTAATTTACCATAAACAAATAACAACGTAAGCAGTAGCAACATGAATTCATTTTTGAGGTGGACTCAAATAACAAATACAATTACAAACAAACAATAATATGAAAGTAGACTAAAGTAGTAAAATAACCACTTTTCGGATTGGACTGATCCACAGTATGTAAGGAATATTATACAAGATAAATATTTCTATCATGGATTTTGTGACCAAAACACCATATGGCCACCTCCATTTGAGGTGCTTCCGAGTAAAGTTATTTGATGAAATATCGTGAGGATGTTCTACATGAAGTTTAGATTATATCCACCAAATTTCATCTTAAAGTACAGTCGGGAAGTGAACTAAATAATAAATTATTGAAATACATTACTTGACTTAGATTAAAGGGAAAACTGTCAAATAAGCTCCTGTACTATACCGAAAAAGTCGATTAGGCCCTCGTACTTTACAAACACTCAATTAAGTCCTTGAACTATTAAAAGACGTTCAATTAAGCCCTTTTGGTCGGTAAGTAATCGGTTTCCCGGTTAAATGTAACTCGTTTCCCGACAGCCGCCGTTGCCGGGGTTCGAGCACATCATCGCCGTCATCGCCGTTTAACCGAGAAACCGGTTACTTACTGACCGAAAGGGCTTAATTGAACGTTTTTTAATAGTTCGGGGACTTAATTGAGTGTTTGTAAAGTACGAGGGCCTAATCGACTTTTTTGGCATAGTACGGGGGCTAATTTGATAGTTTTCCCTAGATTAAACAATTTGGCGCTCATCGTGGGCAAGAAAAATTATCATTCACGGAAGATCAAAGCTCAGCTATATTAACGGAAGTTCAAAAGCAAATAGAGGCGGTGAATGAAGAAATGAAGCGGGAAATGACGTTAAAAACTGATTGCATTCAAGAGGAAAACAAACTCCTAAAATCGCAAATCTAGACCGTTGCCTCCATAGCTTCTTGTTCTAGGAAATCCAAGAGAAGCGACGCAACAGCTGTTGTGACAAGTCTGGACCTAAATCCCATCATGACAAACCTGAATCCTTAATATTCAAGGGTGAAGAGAATAAGTTCTTTCGAGATTTCGAAAAGTTGTTGCTTAATGGATTGACATGTGCACCCCTACACCTCAACTTCTCGAAAGGGGGCAATTGTTAGGGCATGAATATTTAGTAGGAACATTAGTTGTCATGTAAATTTTATATAATTTATGTAATTAAGGACCACATATTTAGATGATAACAATGAACCCAATACTAAGGATAAATGGTGTACGTGGTTGAGCTGTCAAGTAGAAGATAAGGGAGATCAATTCAACTAATGCCTTGTTTGTAGGGAAGATAGCACTCTTATCAGAAGAATAGCAGATCAATTGGAGCCTTGGCTATAGTTCTCTCTCTTATCAACCCTCAAATACAAAATCAATTCCAGACAATACACTCTTTTATTCTTTTATATGGTTTATATATTACTTTATTTAGCCAATATTATTTAGCTCCTTAATTTATACATCCCCGTTGACTTAATTTACTTAATTCTTTTAATGACAAACTTAATTTTGCTTGTGAAATAGTCACATTTTTTTTATAGGATCTGTTTCTTTTCTCAGTTTAGTACTCTTCTTTTTACTTTTCATTTGTATGAGTACTTTTCTTTTTATGAATAAGACCAAAGGAGCAAATGTTACAGAATATTACCTCAATCCCATAAAAATTGGCCAACTTTCTTGGTCGTTTCAAAAAACTTTTTTATATCCACTTAAACGAACAAATATGTGGCTAAAGTTATTTCTCCCTCCTTTGCATAAATCCCAACCAACAGTTTTTACTTTATTATTTTATGTGCAAGTCAACTTTGGTCAAGCTTTATGGGACACAGCGAGTAATACAATTCAAATGATCTAGTGTAATACTGGCATAAATCTATTTATCATTCTATTTTCAAGAAATCGACTCATGACACACAGGAATTAGTCTAGGAATTAGAACTATTTGTGCAAATTAAAGATTAGTACAAACTATGTTTAACAACATTATTTGTCAAATTAATTAGTTGCTACATGACAACACAATCAGTCAAAAATAATACACCAATGATGCATTGATATTGGACTATTGCATGTCTTTTAGTTATTGCTTTGTGCTCATTAAGTTATATAAGTCGGGGTCATTTGAGAATAGGAAGTAATCGAAGCAGTGAAACTTGATATTAAAAGAAGTTCAGATTATATTAAAGCTTTTAGTTTTCTCATTGAACTCTTTTGAAGGATTACACCTTGATTACTTTTTAAAGGATTAAACTATATTTTAAATCTATTAATCATGAGTGATTGTTTCGTGTCTATTTTTATTAGGATCGGTTCCTTTATTCCAAATCACTTGAGAAGTAGATATTGGCATCAATTGGGCATAAATGAAGGGAGTACAAATGCTTTTTGTAAGGAAAGTGATGTGATGATGATAAAACATTACTATCTTGCATGGTAATTATCCAGAAAATGTGAAAAGAGATCAATGGATTAGCTTGTCCACTTTTGGAGATAAGATGAAGGACACTTATACTGAATATACAAATAAAGATCACTCTTTCACATTTTGTTATGTCAAATAAGTATCTTTCTCCTATAAGAGTGGCATGATCAATTTTGCAACTTTATAAATTGAAGTTGGTTGATACATAAAATTCAACTCAGTAATCCTGTCACCTATGAAACTTATACATACAAGGCACATCAAACCAACAAAAAATGTAATTAATTATGTTGTAATTTTCTTTTTTGCTAGCACTCAGAGTTGATATTTGCTCTAAACACTTTGTTAGTAATATACGGTTCGTGAATAATACAATAATACATACGTTCGTGTATAATACGATACAATTATATAAAATACGGCTTAATATATGTTTCATACGTTCGTGAAATATATAAAGATGCGGACGTGTTTTAAACGTTTCACAATTTAAAAATACGGCATATAATATTTGTCTTATATATTAATTTAATGATAGAAATAAAGACATATTTAACATTTGCACCACATTTTTCAACAATTTAACATGTACGAAATAGTTTTTTCACATATTAGGATTTGAATGCATGGGTACAATTAGTAATAAAATGATATTGCCTATTTGAGTAGAAGTAGAGAGACAGAGAATAGTTGATATTACTGTGACCGTGAGTTTGGTGAGCCGCCACAACATTTTTCGATCTCTTTGGAGTCTTTTTATGGGTGGAGAACAAAAGTAGTACAGTATGTAGTACTACAATAGTAATATCGAAACGGATTACGAATTTAAGAAGCTAATTTATTAAATGTAATGACTATTAAAAAATTAACGAATATATAAGACATAAAGTTTTTTATGCAATACAAATAGTATTGAGCAGCTAGACATTCCGTTTAATGGTGTGTGTTTTTGAATAAAATACGTATCAATACATACAGTACGTGTATTATACATTTTATTCTTAAAGTACGTAAGTTACTGAGTTTTTCAGAATTTTCTGAAGAATTCATTAACGAGAGTATTATACGTTAATAAAATACGTATCAATACGTACGGTACGCGTATTATACATTTTATCCTTAAAGTACGTGAATTTTCAGATTTTTTAAAAAAAATCATAAACGGAAGTATTATACGTGAATTATACGTTTGAGAGTATTATACGCGAATAAACTAACAGTATTTATGCTAAACAGTATCATACATAATCATGGTATATAATGTCTTTCCATGATAGTTTATGATAATAGTAATTTGTTTGGTATATTATGATGTAGTGTTGCAGAAGAGGAGCAATTCTAGTAAAGAATCACATAAGAAGGCTAAGGAGAAATCGATTTCTATGATTGATACTAAAAAATCATGCTCGTGTTCGTGAGGAGCTGATATTTTTTCTTACATGACAAATAATACTGTTAAAATGCTTGGTTGAATGATGTTTAGTACACATTGTTTTTCTTCCTTATTATAATGACTATATTGTAATTGGTTATTTAATTTATTATGTAGAAAAACAATTGAACAAGAGCCCAACAAGAATTAAGTTTGTTTAGTGTGGTAATTTTAACTTCTATTTATATCTCCTACTAAAGTTGATGGTTTACTTATTTACCCTTCTGAATGGATTGAGTTCATCATGTGTATTTCTATACTAGGCCACATAAATAATATTTATATTTATTGAATATCATTGATGAACAAGAGGACCAATAAGCAAGCTTAGATGGAGATCATGTTCCCAAGGTGATTGGTAAAGATCAATATGATCATGTTTGTAATCTAGGATTGGGTGTGAAACCATCAAATTTTGAAAACTCTTTATTTCCTCCATATTTTAATGGCTTAAACATGTCCTCAAGGGATGAAACAACAACATTGTAATGTATTGGCCAATTGAAGGGCTCAATTCAAATATCAAAGAAGTGCATGAAAAAGCAAGTAACAATTATTATAAAGTTGAATCAATGCAAAGAATGAGGAAGCACGTAAAACAAAAGGGAATGACAGTAACGATTCATATATTGAAGAGTTTAATTTGGCATTCAGAAACTAATGAGGTATCACTTTGTGTACACTTTCTAATCTTAGAAACTTGCTTACTTTAAACACTTATAGTTTCATTTAAGTAATTTAATACTGTTTGGTATAGAGTAATGTTGACTCTTCTACCACACCTTAATGAGGGGAGCCCTTGTAATTCTTCTAACAAAGGTTTTCTTCTTTGAATTGTATTTCTCAATTCGATTTTAACAGAATTCTTTGTTACACTATCTGTTTTGAAATTCACTTTCCATTGGTCTTGACTTGAAACTATGAGAAGAACATTCATCAATTTCTTTGTTTAAGTTTACAACTAGGCAGATTAGTCATTTATCTATAAATTTATTAGAAATCATTAATCTAAACCTTCTAATATATATTTTATGTAATGTATCTACAGTTGAACATAATTTTCAGATTTGGTGACATCCTTCTATTCACAAGAATAATCCTTTTTAAAGGGCTTCATTCTTCACAGTCTTCTTTTTTTTTCCGATAATATGTAAGTATATTAGAAACCGAAAAAATAACATTTTACAATGCTTCAAATCCAAATCAAAATGACTATCTAAGCTAGAATAATCTAACCTAGATATAATGCATCAAAATAATGGGACAGTCCCCACTTCACAAATCACTAATTAAAGATATTAGGTTTCCCTAATTTAACAGCCAAGGAAAATCGGAAAGGTTTAGTGAACTTTGAATCAAAGCGAACCTCCCCTTTCTTCTTTGTAACACCCGGCAAGCCCTCAAGACATTCAACGGTAAAAGTGAGACCCTTTCTATCCAAATCATCCGTAAGTCGAAGGAAATTGTCCACTCGAATCACATTAGCATGTACGGATTTAAACGGTTTGACAAACAACTTGAGTGTCTTGCCGTTTATCACCTCACATTTTATAACAACATCATCTAGCTTCACATCCTTTTTATCCATGACTATCCTCTCACCATCATCCAAAGAAGGTCTCTGTTCAGCCAGTTTAATCACGGCAGATGCATCCTGGACAATGTTCTGCGCTGAAGACCCGATCGGGTCCTTCGCACACCCGGGCGGGTGGGGAATCTGCAGCTGAGTTTCGGTCGGGCCAGGGGCAGGCCCGGTCGGGTCTGACCCCTGGGCAGCAGGTTGTGGCCTAGTTGACCCCTTCTCTATATTTTCATCTTTTTCCCTTCTCCGTTCTAAATCAGTTTCCTTATCCTCCCGTTTTGCTAGTTTCTTACAAATAAATGGGTGATGCCCATACTCTTTGCAATGAAAGCAAAAGTTAGGGAAAGTTTCATAAACCACAAATTGTTTGATTACCTTACGGGAAGGTAGTCGAATAGGGAAGTGAAGCGGTGGTGGCTTTGAAACATCAACCTCAATAAGAACTCTAGCATAGTCATTGTTTGCCCTTTCTTGAGTGATTTTATCCGTGGTTAATGGGACCCGACCATTGATGCCACCTCACTCATAGCCTCATCATTCCATAAACTCATCGGTAGTTTAGGGAACTTGACCCAAATTGGAATTTTTAGAAATTCCTCATCCTCAAAAGTGAAGTCCTCCGAGAGTTCTTTGAGCATTAATAGCTTACCGAAGACGGTGTAGGGTCCTTCATGTAGTACTTTGGATCTATCCTCTTCATTTTGGAATTTAAAAATTATCCAACCCTTGTTATGAGATCTTACTAGGCTTTTGACTCCCCATGTAGCTTTTAAGTCATGAACCGCTTTGAGTCCGGGAAATTTGCCGGTGAAATGTCCCATTAGACAATAACCCCACATTTCAACCATTGAGGGTAGTATGCGGTCACCAAAGTCCACTGTCTCGCCTTTAGGTGGAACATATCTCAGCTTAATTCCATTTTTTGGATCTCGGTTATCCTTAAACAGAGAGTTCCATTTAGTTTCTGTAGTTACTGCCAGTGTTGTAACCACTTTCCCGGATGCATGACCCCCAGCAATTAATGTCCCGGCAGCAGCTTCAGTAGGCTTTAAAGCATTCTCAAAAGGTCCAGTAGCCTTAAATGTCAAACCAGCCTTAGCATTAATCTGTTTAGTCTGTTTAGTCCCAGGAGATGGCATCAGTGTTTTCGCAGGTACCTCTATAGCAGTGGTATCAGTGTTGGTGTTCGTTTAGCCTGTTTTGGTAGGCAAAAAACCATCAGTTACTGTCTTAGCATCTGCCTGCTCAACCTGCCCAGTTGCAGGAGCAATTGAAACATCAAAACCGGGGCTAACACCTGCTGATTTCGAGGCAGATTTAGCTAGCTCAGGGAACTCTTCCTCAAGGTTATTCAATACCTCAAAGCCTGCTGCTTTGGACCTGGTAAGCCTGGGCGTAGCCTCCCCCTTCCCTGCCTTCTTTTTGTTCATCCTACCGGGTAAAAATGCTGCAAACCAAAGCCAGAAAGTAGAGCCTGGTACGAAGATAACCTGGTAAAACGACCTGGTAAAACACCGAGCCAAAGCCGACCTAGTAAAACGACTTCCCCAGTCGCCAGGGACCTGGTACGAACAGATCAAGGGTCGTTGCAGCAAATCAAGAAAATCAAGACAAATCCGAGCTCGTAATAGTACACAGACGAGATTTCGAAGCCAGACAACTCAAAAATCTAACGAACATCAAGAAAATCTAATTCCGTATATGAACAGTACAGACGCAGATAGGCTAACATAAGCAATCCAAGAATTGGAAATCCAATTTTAACTGCTCTAGAACCCATTCTAGAAACAAATCAAGAAAATTAAGCATTTGTAAGAAAAGTTTGATTGTTTAGATTATGTGGTACTCCATTCGTCCCATTTAAAGGTTCACGTCCCCTATTCTCCGATCAACGTGCATTATTTTTAATCTTTTACTTTATATATATAACTTCTTTCCAATTTAATTTTTCTTGATCAGTTACTATAAAACTTTTAATGTAGTTTTTGAATATGTAAAATTTATTTACTAAGCCATCTTGGAGGAGAATATGCCCAATTAATGGTGAGGCAGAACCTATGGTCGATAGAGGTACTACCCCTATCAAATGGAAGCACACAAAAGACGAGAAGTTCAGTACAAAATCAACATACAATGCCCTCAGGAAAGGGTGGGGGGAGGACTTTATCATATTCAAACATTTGGCATTCAAGGCAAGTGCCAAAAATAAAGATTTTTTATGAAGGCTTTGGGATAAGGGACTACCCTTTCCGGAGCAGTTGGTAAGATTTTCTGTTATGTATCCCTCGTGTTGTCCCCTCTGTAATTCAGACTCAGCGACTCAGGATCATGTGCTATTGGCATGCAGTGTAGCTAGATCTGTCTGGAATTTCTTTGAGAATTTGCTACACGTTAAAGGACAAGGGGTAAATCAGATCAAAGATCAGCTCATAAAATGGTGGATGGCGGGGAAGGGGAAATCAATGGATGCTACTTAAAATTGCAACTGTGCCAGAGGTGATTGCTTGGCATATCTGGAAAGTGTACTGGGATGCTATTTGGAAGGAGGTTACTCCAGATGAAAAATGGATTGTCAGCCAAGTTAGAATTTTCATGTTAAATTGGAGCTATGTAAATGTTAAGTTGAAAGAAAATTCAAGATTGAAAGAAGTTGGGTTACTACCTAATAACTTCGGGTTGAAGAAGCCGCAGATCTGGAGGTGGACCAAGCCAACGATGGGTAAGATGAAACTGAGTTGGGTGGTCTTCAGGCAAAACGGCAGGTCGTCGACTGGTTTTTTGCTGAGGGACCACTCTGGTGCGGCGGTTGCGGCTGAAGGGTTTCCTATGAGTGGTTCGCCAGTGAACGGAGGAGTGATCGAAGAAGCCTTCGAACAAGCTTTGGAATGGGGAGCGTCTCTTAGCTTCGAGCAGGTGGAAGTGGAGTTATTTTGTGACCATATGATGGGGTGGTGCTCGTTTTATTCGGCCCAGTATGCGTGCTTCTATGGATTTGGGTTATTCCGATCCAGTGTAATAAGGCCGCATGCGTAGTTGCTAAATTGGGTTTTGATGGCCCTTTCAAATAGAGCATTGGGAATTTCATGCCTTGTGAACAGCAAGGAATTTTAGAATTAGATAGGAGACCGGTTCCCTATGTTGTTGCGTAATTGTTGTCATTTTGTTGTAAAGACTTTCCTTTCTTGAGAGGTATGGGTCTGGTCCCCCTCTCAGCAATATGTTCTTTGTGGGTTAATTTATAATACATGGCAAATGTTCCCCGACATTTGCCCCACTGATTTGGGTGGTTTACCTACTGAGTTTAAAAAAAATATTTACTAAAAATAATCCTACTAAATGACAGGGATCGGTTAACTTTATGGTCAGTCAAACATCGTAAACCGCATGAGAACCTTGAAGTAGGATGAAGGGAGTATTATTTTTCAAAAATTGATACTCTTTATTTTATTAAATATTGTATGATCTGAACAACGTTTAGAAATGTTGATGTAATAGTATAATTAATGTTCCTGAAAAGTGTATATGGTACATTTTAGAAATCATTTTTGTTTGTGTGTTGTTCTTTTCAAGTTGTTAGTTTTGTCTAATATTTTATGAAAAACATTAGGTGCAATGTTAAATATTATTTAACTTGGTGATATCAATAAAAGTGGTTATGAAGTGTAATAGAGTACTTTGCGATGTTAAATGTGTGCCTCGACAGGTTGATGAAAGTGTCTCACGTATAGCAATGCTTTTAGAGTTCTATACCAACTCCAATAATTAGCGTCGTGACAAGGTCTAGCAGCACAAGCAAAACCAACGGTTTTACAAGTGCTGGTAAAAGTACTTGAGACACCCTTTTGTGTAAGTGTAGGCAAGTATAAAGTGCCTTTAGAACCCATTTCTCTACTAGTGATCTTTTCACAAATACATAAATCAAACGGGATGTTGTTGTTGATTTCGAAACTTCACTTCTTCCTACTCCATAGAAGTCACTACTCAGCTCCTACATCTTCGAGTGACCTTTTTTGTTGGCTGACATAAAATTCTCATTTTTTTTAATAAATTCTTAACGTTCAGGACCACATTTTTTCTAGTGACCTCATATTGACCTGCCTATCACTATCACACTCACACGTCATTTAATTATTAGTACTAGTTCATATTCTGTTTTGGAACTGCGGAGTATATAATTTAAGTTCCCTGCATGAATCATTATTACACAATTGTTAATTGGAGATTATGATTATTCATGTATATTAGCAATCATACAACATGTTATGCGTTATAAATGCTTAAAGGTCACTAGTTAATGATACCCCAACAATAAATGTTAAACATCATAATATACCTTGAATTGTACCACATGACATGAAAGAAAAAGTTTTTGTCCCGTGAAAATAAACCATACAACATTGGAAGGATAAAAAATGTCCCATAACAAAATGCATTATCTGCAAGTGAAGGTGAACAATATCATGCTACATACACTTACCTTATTCAAATGAGTGGTAGTATCTTACATATGTATTTTAAATCAAGTACAAAACTTATCTCACTCTTCATATTCATATATTTACAAAACTAAGATCTTTTCATACATATTTAGGTATTTTATTTAACTTATATAAAAACAAAAACAAAAAAATACTACCACATGTCAGTACTAGTTCAATTAATGAGATATTGAAAACTTAACCATAAGGAATGTGAATGTGTGTTTACTATAGATGCGGTGTTCAGCATGAAATAAAAAAATATATACAACATGTCAACATGCTTCAATGTGGACATGCTTTATTTTTGGGAAAACCATTACGAGCATGTTGACAAAGACTTGAATATATTACATGCATTGATTTAATAGTAATGGACACCATTGTTATCAAATTAATGTATTTGAATATGTGATGCATCCTAATAAGCCAACATCTTTTAATATGTGTATGTTAACATGCTCAATAAGTTTGTGGATCTAATTTTCAAAAAGGGATGACCCCTAACCCTGAGAACCCCTAGACTGGCCAAACAAGTAAAACAAGTAACTGGGAGAATGTAAATTGGGCCTTCATCATAGATTTACAGACAACGAGTGAGATTCTGGTCGAATAATTTATAGAGGACCTAAGCATTTTTACATAGTAATCTGTCATTGCGGTTGTCAGGATTCGAATCTTAGACTTATCTCTTGATTTAATCCTTGTGGCACCCTCTATCTATCAACTGAGCTACACCCACCGGCAAGCCCTACTTTTCATGATAATGCATACAAAGAGTTTATATATATGTGTGTGTGTATATATATATATATATATATATATATATATATATATATATATATAGAGAGAGAGAGAGAGAGAGAGAGAGAGTTTGGTTCAAATAAAAAGTACTTCCTAGGTGAAAAATAAGAACTAATCTTGGCCATTGATGTGAAAAATATATGAAAGAGATCAAATTTTAAGTTGAAAATGCGGTGACGTTTTTGTAATTATGAAGAAATTTTAATAAACTGAGCTACTCTGTGAATTTTGTTATATTTAATACTCCCTCCGTCCCGCTATGATTGTCCCGTTTTACCTTTTCGGTCCGTCCCACTAAGATTGTCTCATACCTTATTTGGTAAAGTTTGTGTGGTTCTAAATCATTCCTACTTTATTCTTACTTTATCAATTCAATACCAACCACATAAACCCACTTTTATTAATAACCGTGCCACCTTCTCTTGTCCCAAACTTAGGGGGACGGAGGTAGTAATACTCTTTGGTATAAAGTAATGTTGAGTCTTCTACCGCACCTTATGAGGTAAGCCCTTGTAATTCTTCTGACAAAGTTTTTCTTCTTTGAATTGTATTTCACAATTCGATTTTAACTGAATTCTTTGTTACACTATCTGTTTTGGATTGCACTTTCACTACAACAAAAGTGACTTTTGGCAACACTTCGTTTGTAACACTTGTCTTTATGTTGCATAAAATATTTAATATTACAATTGTGTAACACTTTCATAAAAGTGTTGCATAAAACGTATGGACCGTAGATTTATGCAACACTTGCTTATACATGTTGCATATACTAAGCATTATGTAACATTAATGATAAAGTGTTGCAATAACTAATAAAATAAATAGTAAATACCCTATGCCCATACTCTATATATTCACATGACACTAATTGTACATTTCTACAGAGTAATCTTCCGGTCCCTCCCTTCCTGACCGGAGCGCCGTCCGGCCTCCTCCTTTTGGAGAGGTTCCCGGTGATATTTTTTGCTCAAATTTTTTGTGTATGTTTCTCATCAAGTCTAGTTCATCCATACCAAATTTGAGCAAAACATTTCCATCGAGAAGGCCGTAAATTGATTTTTGAAAGATAACTGGTCCGGAATATACGTATAAAACGCAGTTATCAAAGGTTTTCAAGAAATTTCCATCGGGAGCTAATGTTTAGTCTTCTACTGCACCTTAATGAGGTAAGCCCTTGTAACTCTTCTGACAAAGGTTTTCTTCTTTGAATTTTATTTCTCAATTCGATTTTAACTGAATTCTTTGTTACACAATCTGTTTTGGATTGCGCTTTCCATTGGTCTTGAATTGAAACTATGAGAAGAATTTAAATGAAGAACATTTATCAATTTCTTTGTTTAAGTTTACAACTAGGCAAATCAGTCATTTATCTATAAAATTATTTGAAATCATTATTCTAAACCTTTAATATATATTACATGTAATGTATCTACAGTTGAACAAAATTTTCAGATTTGGTGGCATCCTTCTATTCAAATGATTAATCAATTTTAAAGGGCTTCATTCTTCACTGTCTCCCTGTTTTTATTGTTTGG